CTATCAATATCGGCATGGCTGCTTGTTCTTCGCTGTGTTTCTGGTCGGCGTAAATAACTCTTCTCTCTCCTCAAACCTATGTCCCTGTCTTCTTCCCAGTCACGGTCATGGTCGCGAACCCGTCCCCTTTGATATCGCTCCCTTTCCCGTTCTTGTTCTCTCTCGCGCTCCTCTCGTGTTCTGCGCCTCCTCCGGCCGTCGCTTTCTGTCACGGAAGGATCTCCAGACTCGTCTGTATCCATGTCGGAATAGCTTCGATTTAAACGTGAAGGGCGAACCTGCTCCCGACTCCTCCGTGTGCGAATAGGCTCCGTCCCGGAATTCTGTCTTGGGCCGGGCCGCGGCCGGTCGGAGGTGAGGCCATTTGGGAGAATACTGCTCACTGTCTCCGTAAACTTGTCGCGAAGGGAGCCCAACGGGCTTGGCCCGGTGCGTCTCTTTGCTTCCTCTGGTCGACCGTCCGATCGTAGCCCACGAAGATGGCTGGACCCATTAGAGGATCCCTGCGATTGTGAAGCAGCCCCCGTGCGTACAAATCTGCGGACCGACGGAGGGGGTGGGGAGTTTGGGTGACGGCGTCGCTTCTCTCTAGGATCCCCAGCCGGCTCCTCGTCTGATGAATCAGTCATCTCGTGTCTTGGATGGCTATGCCTCCTCCCTGGGCCTGACCTCTTCATGTTGGGATTCAGATACGATGGTGAATACCCCCTTGGCAGAGAGGGATCTATATCAGGTCGGCCAGAGGCATAGTCGGAAAAGCTCCTCCTCCTCCCCCTGTCATCTGGCGACGTATCACCGCGGCGTGGTCTGTCTGGAGACCTCTCTGCCTTGCGTTGACTGGCGTATCGACGTGGTACGTGAGTATATGCGAAGGGCCGTCCAAAATATTCTCCGTCATTTGGCCTCGGTCGCGGCGAGGAGGTGAATGAGAAAGGCTCCTGGAAATGGGCGTAGGTGAACTTTGGAGGAGGAGGCTGTTCATTTGCAGGCGGCGGCCTTGGAGTCGCGCCATCATCATTGGATGCTGCCGTCCATAATTTGTCTGCGCAACTTTTGTGCCAGCGATCAATGTCTTGGTCGGGTTTCTCCGGGAAACAAGTCCAAGGTAGGTCGACGGGGAAGTCTGCGCCGGTTTCCGGGTGTTTCAAGTTCCACTCCTTCACGGCATATTGCAAAAATGGAACATGCTCCTCGGGTCCGAGCAAGATCTCTAACGACTCCCATCGAGAGAAGCCGCGATAGGTGAGGGCCGGTATTGATGGGGGGTCAAAATCATTGCCTGTGGGTTGGAGGCTATGCTGGCAGCCAGTGATTTGCCAGACGTAGGAAATCGTCGAGTGCGGCGTGTCCACAAAGAGAGCTTTAAGAAGACAAGCAAAGTTAGCATAGACAACTTTCCCAGGGCGAAGGGGGCGAGCTGTTTCTGGCCAGCTCTTGTAGTGAACGCACAGTCATAGTCGCCGCCAACAGCCTTGTAAAAGGCAGCCAGCTTACGTGGTGTGAGATGGTTATCCGCCTTCTCACCAATCTCTAGCATCTACAGCAACAAGATGTCAGCTTGCAGGTCTTGTGACGCCAAATCCAGCTCGACGGCGGACCTCTTTGAACGAGAGCTCAGGGTTGCGTGGTGCCTTACAACGTGGCGGGCAATAGCCCTCAAAAGGGCATCGAGCTGCTTTGTAGGGCCCTTGTCCTTCTCAAACATGTAAGCATATTGAACCGCCGAGTCGGGCGATGCATCAGAGGAAGGCGACGACATGGCAAGCCGCCGCGTCGCTCACATCCAACGCAACAGTTTTATCAGGGAGAGGCTAGATGATTCGTGGGAGCAGTGGAAGATGTGTAGCTGGTGAAAATTGGAATTGATTGACTGGTTGTGGGAGCACGACAGGACATTCGGAACGGATGACGATAAAGGCGGTGGGCAAGTCGCGGGCACGAGCACATGCGTAGGGACAAGGCCAGCGGCCAGGAACGCTTGTGCATCAGCCTGTATCAGCAACAGCTCCGAGGGCAGCCCAGATGACGACGTACAAAGACCGTCGCAGACAAACGGTGCAGGAGACAGACAAAAGGCTGAAAGGGCAGGCAGGACAGGCTTTAGATGGTCGATGGTGGTGGTGGTTGTGTTGGTGCGCGGCGGCGGCGGACCTGGAGCATTGAATCGTGTGACTGGAGATTTCGGCTGGTCTTGCCTGGACGCAGCCCAACAGCATCAGGAGGATGTCACACCTTCAACCACGACGGGCTGAAACGGTGCCGTGAGCCCCGGGGGCCTCGATGCGGAATGTCAACTGGTCTTCTCCGCAATGCTGAATGCCCAATGTGACCTGCCAGGGTCGAGATGATCTGGGCTCGGCCATGATGCCAAACGTGAGCCAAGTGCGAGCGGCCCGCCGGCCGTCGCCGCGGCTTCAATGTTAATTCCTGCTACTAAAGTGGACTGCTGCCCCTCCATGGACCATGGGCATGTCGTCGTCGATGTCCACCTTGTGCATCGGCATCGTCGCTTTCGTCCTCTTGGTGCCCTTTTGTATGCCTCATGTGCTGGTGTGGGTGGGCTGACATGTGCATCCATCATCTGTGTCATTTGTGTCATTCACGTCCCGTCTCGGCGAGCCACTTTGCATGGCGTGGGAAACGACCACGATCATGACCAGCTACCAAAGTGCCTAGACACCAACACACCAGGCATCACACCCAGAGCACGGAGCACAGGACAGCTGGCGCTGTGGCTGTGGCTGTGGCTCCTTGTAGTAATCAGCGGTCAAGGCAGTCGATGCCGGTTCAGCTTCTGGTATTTAGCCTGGCCTGCCCCGGCCTCGGCCTACGAGTACCGCAGGTCTGGTTCGTGACATGACATGTGTGCTACCATCCAGGCCAACCGTCCCATGCTTACTCCGTACTGAATGTAGAAATAAAAAACTCATTGTTGCTGGGTAATCAAGCGCAAGGTTCCAGATATGCGAGGCTACAAAATGCATACGTCAAGCCACAGCTGGCGTTGAGGGTCCATCTCGCAATCGAGGATCTGGCTGCCTGTTTCTTTTGCCCAACTTCCGTTTCGTCCAGCTGCTTCTCGTGTGGCACGCCTCACAGATCACTCCCGTGTACTTGCTGCTCGTGTTCTGGTTTCTTTCAACTGGACAAAATTCTAATTCGGGGAACACTTATGGCACAGCTGGCAAACACTAACGTACTTAGTAGGCACAAACAGGCACAAACATTGAGCACCTAGGTACATACTCCGTGGGCATCTCACAATTGCATCGATGGTTTCTGTTGCGCCAAGACCAACCATGCACAGCTCTCAGAGCCCTTTGACGCCACAATGAGCTATAGGGTAGCCGTCACCCCTTGCATCATTGCACCGTCTCCGGTCGCAAATCCTCAAATGAATGTTGACCCGCGTGTCGTCGCGAGTGGAAATTCCCACTGACTAGCTCCAGCTCCCAACATCAGCTGTCTGCAAACCACATCTGCATTCGCGGTTGGACACGGTTTCTTCAACATCGCCACCTAGCGTCAGGGTAAATACAATCGCGCTTCGATTCCACTTCCCCTGCTGCACCCACCAGCTAACGAGACAATCTCTCTCAGCATTCCCGACGTTTTTCTTCTTCACAGCACAGCATCATCCCCTGTCCACCTCGGCATCACCAGCCTCAACGTCAAACCACCGCCATGGACGCTCTTCGAACCGCTATACAACCAATTACCCACAACCTCCCCCCTCCGATCCGCGACCTTGGCGTCTCCATTATCGGCGACAAGTGCTACAAAACTCTCCTCCTCGACGTGGACCTCGAAAACACAGAATGCCTCAAGCTCGCCGTGTCCAAGGGCCTCGGCATCGGCATCATCGCCGCCTCCTCCATCGTCAAGGTGCCCCAGATCCTTAAGCTCGTCAACTCAAAGTCCGCAGAGGGCGTTTCATTCTTGTCGTACCTCCTCGAGACGAGCGCATACCTCATCACTCTCGCCTACAATGTTCGCAACGGCTTCCCCTTCAGCACCTTTGGCGAGACGGCGCTGATCCTGGGCCAAAACATCATCATCTCCGTGTTGGTGTTGAATTACAGTGGGAAGGCAAGCATGGCTGCTATCCTGGTGGCCGCCTTGGCTGGGAGTGTTGCAGCCTTGTTTGCGGAGAATGTTTTGGATATGAAGGCCCTCAGTTATTTGCAGGCCGGCGCGGGTGTCTTGGGTGTTGCGAGCAAGGTTCCCCAGATTCTGGCCATTTGGCAGGAGGGCGGTACTGGCCAGCTCAGCGCCTTTGCTGTATGTGCTTCCCACTGGACGCTCTCCTCACAAACTCTTGTCTTTGTGTTCAGGCGCTAATGAGTTTCAGGTCTTCAATTACCTCGCTGGTTCTCTCTCTCGAATCTTTACTACCCTCCAGGAGGTGGATGACAAGCTTATCCTGTATGGCTTCATCTCCGGCTTTGCCTTGAACCTTGTCCTGGCTCTGCAAATGATCTACTACTGGAACGCCCCCTCTCAAAAGGCCAAGGGCAAGCGGAAGGCAGTGCCAATTGAGGCCAAGGCCAAATCTAGTTCAACTGGAACTCCTAAAAAGGGAACAACCACTCGCCGCCGTGGTTAGCTTCCGCGATTTGCTGTTTTGTTTTGTTGCGCCTGGTGCCGTCATTTTTGGGCACCACCAATATACTTAATACGTCACGTTAAAATGCGACCAAGTTCAGGTGCTATTTCGAGCACAGCTAGCAATGCCACATGCTATGACCAATTATTGAAGTCGTGTCTTTTGCGTCATGATGTTACGCAATACGACCATATGTGTAATTCTGTCCATGGTGAATACCCCAAGTAGATTCAGACCAGCCCATCCATCATCCATTGGTGTCACCTGCACCAATAGCTTCATACACCTATTATCCCATCCTTAAACGCCAAAGCTACCACCGAAATTAACTTAATAAACGCCATTTTCAAATGCTGACCCAACCACTTAGATTCCGTTGCCTTTAACATCATCTTCAGCATAGGGACAGCCCCATGTTGAGCCACCCAATATTGCCAAATGCTTTCCTCCCTGCGCAACATAGGCACCGCTTCTCCTCGCCCAAGTTGCTCACCGAGCAGCTGAAGCAAACGTGCTTCCCGCATGCGCCACACGTCGTATTATCCGCCGTCAAATCGTTCACAGCCATGTCATGAGCGTTGTCGCCGGGTCCCAGACCCGCTCCACAGTCCTCGCAACTCGTCGGTGCGAGAGCGGGCTGTTCAACGGTCGATTCACTGACGGGCGTAGGCGCTGAATTGATGCTCCAAAAGCGATGGAGAGACTGCTGCTTCCGCGGCTCAAGCGCAGACCCTGTTTGGGGAAGAGGCTGGAAGCTGGTTTCTCGGACAGTTTGTGATTGTTGCTGCTGCGCTGAGAATAGTAGATTCAATGTATGCTCTGTGATGAATTTGTAAGCGGGTTGGGTTCTTGGTCCACGCGAGGGCAGCCGGTGGTTACGTACGGTGGACTTTCTCCTCTGACGGCCTGTTATTTCGGAATCGTTTCATTGTTCGACTGTTCAGGTGGGCGGCTGGCATGTTGTAAAAGGTTTGTGGGTTTACGTCGATTGCGGAGTTGCTAGGTGGTGAGCTGAAGATTGAGGAGCATGAGGAGGGTGACGAGCAGAGCTCGGGCTCGGAACGCTTGCGCTTGAGGGTCATGGTGGTGGTATGAGTGGCAGGACGATTAATTGGACTGATTGAATGATTATGAAGATAAAGTGCGTTTGGTTGTTGTAGTGGAATAGGTGAGGCGCGTGGTGAGGCGACGCGGTGACGGTTCGTGTGAAACGGGCTGGTTCGCGTCGGCGTGTTAATGGGTGGGCTGGGCGCGGACAAGCGGCTTGGCCCGCTCACTCCCCACAGGGCCCTCCATCGAGCTGCACTCCGTTTGTATAACTTCACACCAGACATGAGTGCTACTCTGTCAGCTCCTCATAGATACTGGCTGGGTGGTTATGACAAACGAAGACGACTAGTTTCCGAATGCCGACGAGAAAAGATTTACCCTAAGATGACTGCCCGTTCGTATCCATTAAACGCGAGCTTCATGCTGCCAGAAGCTTGGAACCCCGCTCTGTGGTTGGTTGAACAAGCGTGGTCAACTTCGACGATGCACCTCAGCGCACCAAGTGTTCATGGTTTTGGATTACATTAGCGGTCAGCCCCTCGCGAAAAAATTACTTCGGGATAATTCAGAAGAATACCGGTGTCAGTTCCCTTGGGGAACTTGTCGATATGTTTGCGCTTCAGGCTTTGAACCCGGAGGAAGCTCAAGAGACTTTCAGCGTCGAGGCTGACTCATCCGAGGATTCCTTTTGTCTATCCCACACTGATCTCGCCTCGATAATATCATCGTGGACGACGAGCTTCATATCCGCGGTGTCATTGACTGGGAGGAGTTCTCAGCTACAGTGCCATGGGACGGTTGTCTACCCTGCATCAGTTGCTTCTAGAATTAACATGTCATCCGCGATCATGAATGTGCTGTCCTCAAGGAAACAACTCTCACCCACCCAACCTTTGCTTGCGTAGGATTGCTATTTTCGAGATGAGTTAAAGTTGCCGATGGCTTAACCATCCAACCTCGTTTGGCTCCTCTACAGATGCATCTATTCCGGGCTATACGACGAATCTCGCGACAAGATAGCCCCTGCTTTCTTCCAACGTCCTGGAAACCAGGGGCTGCAGGCAAGTTTGCAACGGCGATTGCGTTCTTCTGAGCGGTACACTCTCCATCTCAAGAACAACAACCTCTCTGGCGATGAGGAAGCAGAATGGCAACAAATGCATCTGCAGTCGCGCCCTGAGCGAGCCTCAGACTTGCCACGAATTCATGCATATGCTATGCGAATCACCAGGAGAGTGTGGATGTGATCGTGTCTCATTTCAAGACCCAATTTGATGGATGGGACACACGATAACCACTTGCACAGTCCGTCCAGAGAATCCCCAGGCTCAAACAAGAGTAGCATATGACGACGGCAAGAGGGCCTGCATGACCACAAGACGCCTGTCCGTCTATTTCGTCGTGTGTATTATTATTACGCTCCGGGTACGATCCCATTCGCTCGTTTGATCGTATAGAATATCGCCGACATATCATCCGCGGGCCCCTTTTTGCACAAACACATACACACACACACACCGCACGCGCGTAGTTTTCCTCTTCTTTTAGTTGTTCTGATATCATTCAATCTTCTTCATGTTCTTCCCCATCATCGTCTTCCACATCATCGTCTTCCTCATCATCGTAGCCGTAATAACGATCAAGAGTATAATCGTCAATTCTTTCGTACCAAGGGGCTCTGCTCCGCCTTCCATACCCGTACTGATTCCAGCCCGAGTAGTAGGAGCTGGAGTCTGAGAAAAACGATTAGCGGTCAGTAATACAATGCAGGTGATGGGGGCCGAAAAGCATATGCGGTTGCATACCTCTGTGGGGGTTGATGCCAAGCTGATCAGCAACATTGATGTAGCCTTCACTCGACACGCCTCCGTCCGTTACCACTTTTGGAACCAATCCAGAATCAGTCTCCCACTTGCTGCGGCAAAAAGGGCAAGTCACGTCTCCTGTCTTGGTCTTGGCCCACATCTTGAAGCAGTCCTGATGGATGTTTTGCCCACACGCCGCCATACACCAGACGATTGACTCGGGGCTCTTGGTGTCAAAGGCGCAGAAGCAAATGGGGCACTCGCCCTCGATATCTTTGCGCTTCCCGCTCTCGGATTCCTTTGCAGGGCTGCGCGACGGCGCCTTTGCAAAGATGGACCGCAGCTCAGTGCTCAGGAGCGCGAGCTGATAGACAAGTTCGTACGGGGCCTGAAGCACCCTGGAAAGAATCTGGGAAACAGTCAGCAACGCCGTGGTACAGTATTCCAAAACCCAAAAAAAAAAAAAAAAAGTTGGACTGCTTCAATCCGTACGTAAATAACGTGTTTGCACTGATTCCCTTTCAAAGCATGGGGGCAGTCACAGGTCGGCTGCTGCTTAATGTGAACGGTATATATATTGCCGGTGGACCCCGTCATCTTGAATATTTCCTCAGGACACTCGTCTGTTCCGCTGGGAGTTCTTTCGAGGACATAAAACCGCTGGCTTAGTGCCCGGTCATGCACGTTGTGGAATGCCAGTGGCGCATGGGAACGGTGTGCTCGCAGTCGTTTCTCTGTGGGTGGTGACGAGCCACCCTCTGGAGCTTTTCTCTTCCGCCTGGGCGTTGACGAAGACTGAGGAACGTGAGCGGTCGAAGCTGCCCTATTCATACCGGGCATTCTCTTGGGCGATGGCGCGACAGTCTCGTCGCATGTTAGGTCGATTGGATCCTGTTGACTTGAGCCCGCCTCAAGTCCTTTCTTCAACATCGCCCGGTTCATCTCGGGCTTCCTGTTGTAGGCGCGTATGCGGTGACCTGGGCTGATGGCTTGCGCCTTTTTTTTTCGTGCTCGCTCTCCAAGAATACCGCACTGTTTTATTTCAATTGGGATCAAAACGGCGGAGAGGGCTGGTATTGTTTCTGCCGACGGCACGGACAAACTGAGCCTTTACGCGTGGAAGCAGAGAAGACAATACCACGACGCGTAGTGATCGCAACGCGTAGATGGAATTTGCGTCGCCTTTACCGAAAAGAAAACAAATGGCATACAAAGCGACTAACTTCGGATTCTTGCTCAAAGCCAAATTGTAGCTCTTTTGACAGGGTCCCAGAGAAAAGACGAGTTCGCAAGTATTAGCTCTCGTAGCGCTAAACATGCACAATTCGAATCTTCGAAGCTGTCAATCTGGTCTCCCCCACTTACTCCGTAAATGCACAGAGTACTCCAGATGCCTCAAGCCATGTCCAAGAGGGCAGTTCTGCCAACCCACACCACACCGCCTTCCTCTCCAATGACGGAAATCCCTCCTCCTGCCAGGATATAATCGCCCATCTTAAGTGCAAATTCATGCTCTGCCACGTGGAAAAGCGTGGCAGGTTATAGCCATGGGCCTTTGAAAGTACCTAGACAAGAACACATGGAGTCTGAAATGCAGGACATGTCAGATCGAGCGCTTTTTGTATTCGCCATCTATTGCTATGCAGTAAATCACAAAATCCCATTTCCCATTGAACCTAATCATTCTCAGGTTCTCCTTCATCCCATCTCTTTGCCCTCGTGTCCATGTTGCTCCCAGACATGGAAATAATAAAACCGCACCCAAACAACGCCGGAGGGTGGCGAATAGCTTAATTTCAAATCAAATATCCACGGGAGAGACAACTGCCCTTTCCCGTCCGAGATGCGCCGTCCATTCGCCACCCCCAAATGTATCCAAGGACAAAAGGAACTAAGAGAAAGGAAATATTGCGACGAAACGTCATATGTTCAACTAAGGTACAGGCCGTCGTGACTTGTCCACTGCTCATACTGGAGTATGGCGAATATATGTGACAATACGGCGGGGTTTGAAGACGATGTTAGGAAAAGAGATATGCCATGTCTATGTTGCGGGCATATTTTGCGTGTGTGCTTGTGTGCATTTGGAGGTGAATTAGACAAGGGAATAAAAAATACTAGTTAGGATTAATGGCGAGATATCGTCGAGACTCATCCACATGGTTCAGGTCATCAGATAGCTTCAGTGCCGTGTGGCCGACGTAGATGTGGCCGTGTAAGAGATCGTTGATGTATTCGTCAAAGTTCGTGGCAACCGGTCGTCTCGGGCAGTAATATATTGGTCACCTTGCACATACGAGCTGGCAGGAAGACCGATCAAAAGACGCGCATGAACGAGTAATGCCGCAGGGAGTGCTGCATCATTTCTTGCTTGGGTCTTACTGCTGTCGGGGGTCACGAGGGGGTTGAAATTGTTGATTTCGTGCTTGCTGCTGAGCCATTAACCAAGCAGCGCTGCCGGTTTGCTGTACGAGCTGCTCGGCAGGGACCTTGACGTCTTGTCCATGGCTGGGCACGATGCGGCCGGTGCTTGCTGATGACGAGCTCGAGGCGCCAGGAACAAGATCGGTAACGGCCTGAGCAATAGATGCCACTACGTAGCCGCGAAGTTCCTCGTCCTCCCTCTGATCTTCCTTCTCGAGACGAAAACGTTCGTCCTTGTTCATGTTACTTCGTCGAATGTTCTTGATCTCTTGTGTGATGTAAAGCATGACCTCCTCGGGGCAACGGTTGCGCTCTGCAGCTGATTCATTGTTTCGTACATATCGTCGTGTTACGTCGGTCGCTCCGTCGATGGAGAAGGCAATGCAGTATGACATCTTCTTGCCCCATCCTTCGGTGTAAAGACGAGGGCTATCCCAAGCCTCCTCACACGCATCGACATGAACCCATCTTCGCTGATGTTCTGAGTATACCTCGGTCCACACATGGTCTTCGGCGTTCCACACCCATCTCACTCTGCCACCAACGGCGCGGCAAAGCATGCTGAAGCAGTTCGCCCATTCACCAACACGTCCTCGTCGGGTCTGAAGTAGCCGCCACACATCACCATATCGGGGGAATCGCTCATAGGCCCCGCAGTTTTGAGCAGAGCATCTGTATAGTTCTACACGAAGGGCACCGCAAGCGCTTTCTTCGGGGGTAGGGGCTGTCATTCCCTGCGCAATAGTTGGCGACAGACATACCGGGCAAGGAGGATTGTTCACCCAGGTAAAGAACGACCGCTT